TTGGAACACTTCTCATTCTTACTCAGCCTTCTTTGCTAGCACACAAGCTTGAGTTTTAAACGTTGGAGTTCTTGGGAGCTCTGTCCAAAGCCCTGTTTATTCAATATTCACTCTTTGATTAACATCACCTATTTCCACAGCTTTTACCTACATGCCTATGACTGCTAAATTTATATTTGCACCTCAAACCTCCACCCTGAACTCTAAACTTAAACAGAGGTGATTAAAATATATGGCAAGTGTTTAAAATAAAAGGAGTCTCTTACAGTAAAAGGCATATTCCCCTTAGAATTCTTCCCCTGGCTTTGCACACACTTATCTCATCATCCTTATCACTTTCTGAAGCAGTTCTGGAAGTCCTCTTCCATCAGTATCTTTATGAGGTGTTAATAAAAAACACAGTGAATGCTGCTGAGCACCATCCAATGTGAACGCAGGCTTGTAAAAACATGACACTGGGTCTTCTTCTACTTTATTCACCAGATCTGGCACCGTGTGACTTCTGGCTCTTCCCCAAAGGCAAAATGACCATGAAAGGTCAACGCTTTGAACTGACTGAGGACATTGAACCAGCCATGACAGCACAACGAAAGACACAAAAGAAGACTTCTAGAAGTGCTTCAGAAAGTGCCAAGAATGATGGGGTAAGTGTACTTGAAGCAAGGGGGAGTATTTTAAGGAGGATTAATGGCAGTGCACTATGTCTTTTACTGTAATACATTTCTAAAATTTAAACATTCACCATAGTTTACAATCACTCTTCACCTCGTATTTAACTGTTTACCCCAAGGATGCATGTGGACAGGGGCCCCGCTGTCTGGAATATGTGGCTCCCCAGTAACTGTGGCTGGGAGGAGAGACTGGAATGTGCTGGAGACTGTCCCTATCTCTGGCCAGCAGCAAGCATCTGCACTTTGTCCCACATGTCATTGGTCAGAGTTGGTCTTAAGGCTCTGCCTGACTCCATCAGGGCTGGAAGCTCAGTTTCTCAAATGCCAGGAAAGGAACCAGGTATTAGTGAGCACAAATATTATCTCACAAAAAGTGCTTTTTAGGCTTCCTTTTCCCCTTTGGCCTTAGCAATTCCCTCCTGAATATTCCCTTGATTTGTCTAATGCTCTCCACCTCTATTTAGGGTAGATGGCAGCTGCACTGCCACATGGTTCCAAGGAAGGCTGGTGCCTCAGTTGCTGAGGGCACTGTCAGTGAGGAGGGTGCTACAGAGGGGTCAGCTTCCGCTTCTGCTCCTTTGTTGAGCACTGAACCCCAGTGCACACCCTGGCGGAGATGGCCGATGTCCTCTCATCGACTGCAGTGGGGAGATGACCAAGGCTTGACCTTTTCCTTCTCCTTCTACCAAATCCTGTTTGCTTTCTCCAGAGAATGGAATAAGGTAAAGATAGATGAACAAAATACCAGTTTTAAAGATGTTAATGCTTAAAACAGAGCCTGACCACCAGATTCTGTCTAAGCCTTGAATGTGGAAGAAACAATTTAGGCCAGCTGCTAAAGGGAGAGGGCTGGGGAAGCAGCTGATGCTTGGGGTTGGGAGCTGGGTCACATTCAGCATAGTGACAGTGAGGGTCCTGTCACCGGACATGGCACACAGACATCTCTGGCCATAAGGAGATGTCTAATATTGACAATCCATTGGTGAGTCATGAAAGGAATGCCTTGGGGCAAGGAGGATATAGATTATTTGTTGTGAAGTAGCAGATCTTTGAGATAAATTGGGCAAAGAGTAATCATAACAGCAAAGAGAATGGATGGCTGTTAAACCCACAGCTGACCTAGAAAGGAGATGATGAACAGCTGTTAGCCATTAAAGCACTAAGTGGGAAAGTAACAGATTTCCTGATAGCTTATAGAAACACTATGGCATATGAGGCAGGCAGAGGAAGCTGAGCGCCAGGATTTAACAGAACTCCAGATAAGGGTACCCACTCAATCAACACTGGCAGTTATACCAAGGTAAGAGCCTGTCAGGAAATAAAGAAGGGAACTGGACATTTGGAAAGAGAACATCTGGGTGAATGTCTCTAAAAATTCTGAGCTCCAGAATCTTCTGATCACTGAAAATGCAGGCCATCTTCTTTGCTTGAAGGGATGCTGAGTCCTCTTCCTCACAAAAAATCATGCTCTCACCCTGAGGATTTGCCCTTACCCCTTGCTATGGCCAGTAGCATAGAGTTAAAGCTCATAGCATAGCCCCGCCAGGGACGTGCTGGATCTAACAGCGTCTAACGCCCTGAAGAAGGTGCAAATACCGGCCACTGTGCATTGGCAGGTACCAGAAGAGGACTTGCGAGTCCGAATTCTGAGAGTGCTCACGCAACGAGCCCTGAGTGTAACACTGGACAGAGGAGAGTGTACGGACTCCAGAGCATTCGCGTGATGCAGGATTTAGCAAGGAGGTCAAGACTCCAGGTTATGGCGCACAGTCACTGTGATTCCTAGAAGCATGAGAAAAGGCTGCCCAATGCTAGGGGAGGTCAAAACGCCAGCGTCCTATAGCAAATGGCAGATGGATTTAAAAAAACCCATGCGAACTGGTGCTGGCTCATACTTTGCAGGACTTCTGTTCCACGGCGGCTTATAAAACACATCTAGCAAGGCCGTGGGCATGTGCTGGTGTGGGGTACCTGATGCCACACGCGCGGTGGAGAAAGCCAAGGCTGACAGAGAGCTCTTGGTGCAAGGCTCACTGATAGCTTCAGGGATGATGGGATGTAGTTCCAAAAAGCCAGCTGGCGGCATTTAACTGCCAAAATCCAGGGCATGGAATTGCTCTGGTAGGTGGCAGTGGAGGAGCAGCAGCCCCGTTGGGTGGCGCCGCAGCAACCCGTTCCCACGCAGGCGCCGCGCGTTGGGTTTTGCGCATGCGCGCTCCGAGAGCAGGCGCTCAGTCCCTCAAGCCAGTGGTTCAGGCTCACATCCGAGGCTAGACAGCCCGGGCAGAACCGGAGGTTTGGGTTCTGGGCGGGTCAGCTGGGGATGTGCGTGCAGACTGGAAATGGACGGCAACTGCTCTTCACCTTAAACAGTGGCGATAGAAGCCCTACCCAAAGAGCAGCGCTTTCCGCGTGTGCTCGGCTGGACATCATCCACAGCCCTTTCCCCTGGTCCGCAGTCTGACCCTCCCAGCCCTGCCCGGCTGAGGTCTTTTGCTGCTGCCACTGGGCCTCTCTTATGTTAATCTCAGGCCATTTCTTATTCCTTGATAATGGAAAGACACCGTTTGTGAAATTTAGTCTAAGAAAAAACAAAAAACTGGTTAAGTTTCCCTCTTTGAGTCACCTAATCACATGCCTAACACTAGACAAAGCTTGCTCATAATTTCTACTCTCCTTTGTAGCATTTTATTTTTATATAGTATATTTTAGATAGTATATTACGGAAATAATAAAATAATTGGAGAATCATCATTAACAAAGCTGAAAGTTGACTAGTATAGAGTCCTTGTTGTATCTTTCTTCTAAAATAAACTTTACAGCATTGTTTTTCTTGGCTGGCGCCCTAATTATTATTCTTTCATAGCTCTTTCATAGTTCTGCTTTCTAAAACATTTTTAAATCCTTTGTGAAAGATGATTTTAAAAAGAAGGCTGCAATACCTATTACAAAATAAATAACATTTGGTTGGTTTAAAAATTATTACTTTTCAAAACAATCAGGCTGATAAAATCCTGGATTGATGACAGATGTATTTGTCATCCATTTGTACATCAGAAATCAGCCAAACTTCCATTCAATTTTATAACACAGCTCATGTTCTAATTAACTGAAGGTTACTACTTCTGAACTACATTTTTGTAATTACTTTCAGTTTGTGATTAACCTCAATTTAATTAATCATTTAAGTTCAAATGCTTTTGCAAGTTTTTACCTGATGTCTTCAAAATTTGTTTCACAGAACTATGTATTCTATTACCATCGTGTCAAAAATATAATTCATGTGGTTTTTATCTTTGTTAAAAATAATAAAAATAAATGATGTTTAAAAATAATATATGAAATAGTACAGAATTTTAAAATAAACAAGCATCTAATGGTTACAATTTTCAAACAAACATTTTGAAGTAATGGTTACTTTGGAAACAGCAAATTGTAAAAAACAAGTCCTTTAAGAGTGATTCTTTCAAGAAATTTAGGTATGGGAAAGGAAAGAAGGGAAAAGAAAAAATATGAGAAAAAGAAAAAATGGAAACAAAGTCTTTGTAAATAGGGAAGGGAGGGCAGGGAAATGGGGAAAAAAATAAGAACTAAGATACTTATGTAAAGGCACAAGATCCCAAAGAGGAATGTAACTGTATTTTATACCTAAAATGTACCAATAAACTTAATAAAAAAAAAAGAAATTTGGTAGGACTTATAAAATAAAAATGCCTGGAAAATAAAAAGGTAAAACCATCATAAATGTGTCAAACTTTATGGCACTGTATTTTGTTTTCATTTCCTGTATAAGAAAAGTCCTTTTAAAGAAATAAAAGAAATCCACCATCTGGATTTTCCTATAGGCTTGTGGTGATTATTTGTGGAAAAAAAAAAAAAAGCAAAACTATACAGTTATCTGGAAATAATCCATACACACATATATGTATATGTGTGTGTATACACACACATATACATATTTATTTTGTTTTTTTAAGACAGGTTCTTGGCCTTGAACTTGCAGCAATCTTCTTGCCTCAGCTTCTCAAATGCTGGGTTTTCAGAGGTGAGCCACCGTGCCCAGCTCTACATTATATGTTATTAAGTGAAATATTTGAACGCAGAGAGTTGAAGCAGGAAAAATCTATATCTTTATGAAAAAATTTAATTAAGTGTAAAATAGGCTATGGAAGCTCTAATAAGCTGCTTTGTTGTGGAAGTAATAGGGTAATTTTAAGTGCAGTAATTATTCGTAGACAAGTAGGCAAAATAACAACAGAATTTCATATGCATTTATCAAGAGTGTTTATGTTTTTATGTTCTAAAAATAAATCATTTTTATATTCAATATCCAAATATTTTGATAGTAATCAAAAATACTTTTTCACAGTTGCACTCCTTCCATTATTAAAGATGGTGCAGTTCTTTTTGTATTTGAAGAATCAGACACAGGTTGTCTTGATAGATGACTACGTTTTTGTCTAATTTTCCCCATATAATTAGGACATCTTTCAGACACACTAAGATTAGTCATATTCCCATTAACAACAAGATTTAAATCCTCTGGGAGTAAAATATTTGATCTCCTATTGTCTTCTCTTACTTTAGTACCATGAGTCCTCTTTCAATTGTGGTTAACATGTTTAAAGCCTTTTGTCACCTTCTGATCCAGACCACTGTGGTCTTTTTGACCACTACGTGGGCTTTCCATTTCAGTCTGACATTTCATATTCTTAGGAGCAAGGGAAGGGAGAAATGTTTGCGATGGTATTTTCCGAAGTGATCCAGTGGGCAGATCTTGAAGATACCTGGGGAAATGCTGGCTGATTTTATATTCATAGAGTAATTTTCTTGACTTTGAATCATCTAACTTGACAGAGCACAGGTCATCTATAGTTATATCCTGATAGGTATTTGTTGGACTTTGAAGTGTGTTCAGTTTTTCAGAATTACTCTGAGAAATGCTTGGTAAAATTCCAGGTCTATTTTGTTTTAAAATTAATCCAGTACCAGGAATAAGAAGTTTTGGTTCTTCCTGCTTTGACAGATGTGTGATGTCCATGTTTGAAGCTGGCGGGTGTGCTTGCCCATCCAGTGCTGTACTTTTCCAGATTAAAGGGCTATAAATGACCAATCCATCAATAGGGCATGAGTTGCTCTTGTGGAACAACCAATTATCAATGCATTTCCTATGAAACTGGAGAAAATTTTACAAGTTAATCAGAGATACAGTGATCGTGTTTTCATCTGTGTTATTTACAGAAATTTTCCCAGCCTCAAAACTGTGTATTAGAACTATTTAGTAAAATAGAAGGTAATTCTGATCTATCAAGTCCTACGAAAATATCTTGAAGTTCACTTATAAATATAATAGATTTATGGACTAATCACCATTTTCAACATTAAAATGCAAAGACATGTATGTTAATATCACCTTTGTAATTTTATTAAACATTCACTACGTAGTCAAGGTATTAATTTCATGCTAATTGCTTCTAACAAATGAAAATTATTATCATTATTTGTAGTACTGGGTACTGAAGCCCGGGGCACCCTTTCTCTGAGCCACATCCCTACCCCTTTTTATTTTGAAACAGGGTCTTTCTGAGTGGCCTAGGCTGGCCTTGGACTTGAGATCCTCCTGTCTTAGCTTTCTAAAAACTGGGGTTAAAAATTATTAAAAAATTAAACACTAAAGTTGAAAATGGATCTGATGACAGTGAGATATAAAATAAATCATAGTTTTGGTAATAAAAGGAACTATCAGCTACTACAAATAAGGGTGACACTAATGCTACAAAATATTTATTGAAAGCTTTATTTCTGCAAAAGCTTAGTTATCAAGTATACAGTAATCAAGCAATGTTAGACTTTGATTCTAGTAAGTTCATATGAAATAATTATGGCAATTTAGGCATTTCTCTTTCATCTAAAAATACATACCAAAAAGTGTTCTACAAACCTTTTCTTTTGTAGAGAAATACATAAAGGATCTGTCTTTTCTATGTATAGAAAAGAGCCCTAACCAATGGGAACAGACATGGGGCGGAGCTGTGGCCCTAAACTTGACAGCTGCTTGTTCACATCTGCTGCATAATCTGAACTCTGTACAGGGCACAACTACAAAGTGGAAGGAGAAACTGAAGTTGTTACTTCATTTCTGGAAACTGGCCGTTTAGGGAAATTCACACTAAAGCGTTGTGACTTGTACCTTGTGGGAACATGGCAGCAGTATTGAATGTTGACCAGGATGAAATGACTTCAGACAGAGCCGACACTGGCAGCCTGGAGCAAGCAGCTTGCTGTTCTTCGTAACCAGGAGGAGAGGGAGGGAGCTCACCACGTGTTTCGGTGTGTAACCTGGCTGAAAGACAGTGACAGAGACATGAGTGTTCACGCGTGATGACAGATTTAGAAGAAACCACAGCATGGTCTTCTATGTAAAGCAGCTGAAGGTACAGCTTTCCTGAACCAAAGATAATCCATGTCATTCACTACAAAGCGAAACTATGGTATCGACCGTGCATAGGATAGATCCAGCTTCACAGACAGTAAATATTAATTTGGTCACATCAAATGAAAATACTAGTGTATATTTTTTTGTATTTTAATGTCAATAAAGCCAGAACAAAATTTTGATGAGAGCTATATTCTCAAATTATTTCAGTCTGGGTCAAACTTCTAAGCTAGTGTTTAGAAAAACACAATCCAATTCCCTTTGTCAACTGGTAGAAGGTGAGGTCATGGTAAGCCACGTTGACTATTTCAGGCTATGGTAGCGGCTGGCAAATCATAATCTTAAGGAAATCCATTTTCCCTGGGGTATGTGCTCACCACAACACTGTTAGATGACCTCACTGTAACCTTGGAAGTACTGACCAGCAAAGCAAGGATGTTACAGTGTGAACGGACTCATATTTGATGCCATCAGCAACTGGTTAAAAAAGTATCAAAAGCAAAGTTGATTAAAAGATCAGATGCATTTCTATATTCAAAGGTTACTCAAGAACAAAGTTCACAGATACTCTTCAGAAACGTTTGTATTTCTCATTGCTCTACAAATATATCCTCAGGCTACACAAATTTTGCTTTCATTAAAGTCATGTAATTTCAATTAGATGTGCATTTTTAGTACTTTTAAGGTTACTATCCATTCTTTTTTATCTTAAAATTCTTGCCTTGTTTCTTTCATTTTCTTTATTTCCTTCTTCCCTTGATGTTTCTCTCCCAACTCTCCACCTGTCAAGGTCTCCTAATTCAGCTCTTCGTTATGCAGTTTATTTTAATAGAAAGCAGTATGATTCCTCATCAGGAAAAATGGAAGTGGAGAGCCTTTGAAGAGACTCATTTCATGTCCCATCTCCAAAATGTGTAGGTACCATGGGGGATGGGCTATACATCCACTAGGATTGGATAGAAACCTATATATGTGTGGTATGGAGGTGTATTGCATGCAGGTCTATACATTTATTGAGCACAAGCAGTTTTTGTTTGGCTAATTCATTAAAACTTTAAAAAAAACCTTCAGTTTTATCTCATCCTCTTAAAATGGTCTCTTTTGCATGTTTTATAATGCATATAATCTATTAACACACATTTAATTTTCTGTAATTGACAAGGAGTAAGACTGAAGTTCTATGAACAACCCAATCAAGGCTCTGAAATGTGACCAATCTACTCAGTATTCTTATTCCATGGGTGTGAAATGGACAGTAGCTTAAGAGGGGTAAATGAAGCAGTAAATACTTCCTTCTGCTAGAGGCCAATTATCGCAAAGGTGAGTCTCAAAACCCCCTGTATCTCTTGTTTATCTAACTTATGTTAATTCTAACTTGATATTATTTAGATAACTGATTACTGAAGAAAATACCGAATCCCCAATACCTACTACTATCTCTAATGGAATAAATTATAATGGAGATTATTTGAATATTTGCTATATGTAGTAACTCATTTCATACTCAAAAAGTTCATATGAGGTTGGTTTTACAATTATCTTCATGCTTAAGATGAACAAATGTGGCAGAGAGAAGTGATGTAAATGGCCCAAAGTTACACACACACAGCATGTGTTTGGACTAGATTGGATCTAAGCAGTCTGATTCTGTTCTATAACCTTATGTAGTATGTATTAAATCAAAGAATAAAATAATGTATTCAAACTGAACAATTATTCTAAGATCCCAAGTTAAACAAGAAATGTAAATTTTACCTAGAACCTCACCCTTGCTTTTCTTGATACCATGGCATCTTTTCTTCTATCTGACTTTTAATATCTAAATATTTTACATCTTCATGTGATTCTTTTTCTAGTGATCTCCATCTTTGTTTTCTCTTCTATAACAGGTAGAAAGTAGATGTTACTTTGAAAATCATGAACATTTTTATTTTGTGAATTAAAAAAATAATAATCTACTTATCAATTATATAATAATGTGAAAATATGACTTTTAAACATACTTATTCCTTTTTTTTTTTTTTTTGGTACCAGGGATCGAACTCAGGACCTTGAGCTTGTGAGGTAGGCACAGAGCCACTGAGCTAAATCCCCCACCCTATTCCTTTTTAACTGCATTGAAAATATCAAATAATTATCAGGTCTCATGTACTATTGTATAGCTACTATAATGATATTATTTTTAAAATAAAATTATTAATGATAGTTGTGTATATTTTATTTTCTATTGTATAGTTAGACAAACAGCATTATTTTTCAGCCCACAAGGTACTTTAAGTGTATAGTTCAAATGATATCAATAAAGTTCCATGTTTAATTATTGTTGGTGGAAGAAATTTTAAGAGAAAAGCATAATGATTGTTAGTTCTGATAAGCCAAATTATAAAGTTGAGGTCTTTTATAACTAATTTGCTAGTTTACCTATAATTCCTGTTTGGAAGATTTATTTATAATATCATCAGATGGTTGCTACTGTGTTGGATTTACAAATTACCAGTGAAAGAACTGCTTGCCTTATGCACCTACACAAAAAAGAGTTCTTCTAAAAATATCCTTATAGGCTTTCATTAAGAATCAGCCAACTTGGGGCCAGGGATTTAGCTCAGTGGTTTCGCTGCCTGCTGCGCAAGCACAAGGACCTGAGTTCGATCCCCGGTACCAAAAAAACCCCAACCAAACAAACAAACAAAAGAATCAACCAACTTTGTTCCAAAGCATTATCTATTCTTCATACTCTTAGGTTTACAACAAGACAAATCCAAACGCTCTGTTAGAGTCAAGATGATACTGTACCTCGCGAAATGCAAATGTATGAGGAGCGTGGCGGCAGCTATTGAAGCATTCCTGGCATAAGTGGTATTCTGTACATTCCGTGCACCTGAAAATGCAAACCGCCATAACCCGTGAGAGAGAATCCAGTTACAGTAGTGTTTTCAGATGAAAAGTTCTGACCCAAACTTTCTGGGAATGAACCAAACATGACATGGCCCATTTCAGGTCCCATTGTGCATTGGTTTCCTATTGTTGCTGTAAAATTTACAAATGTATCTGCTTAAACAATGCAAACTTATTATCCTACAGTTCTGCAAAGAAAAGCTTTACATGTGCCTATGGCTACAAACAAGAGGTTAGCAGGGCTGTGGTAGTCTTTTGAGGCTCCAAGAGAGAACCCATTTCCTTGCTTGCCTTCTAGAGAGGAGATGCATTTCTTTCTCAACATGTGGTCCTCTGCTCTCCTTCAAAGTGAGCTATGTAGCGTCTCCCTGCCTTTCTTCCCTTGCCACATTTCCCTCTGAATTTCTGGCCTCCACTTTTAAGAACAATTATCCTGGGCTTATCCAGACCAGAATCGCCTCCTTGTTTCAAGGTCGTCTGATTAGGAACCTTAATTCCATCTGCCACCTCATTTCCCTATGACCTGTGGCCTGACACAGGTCTGCACACAAGGGTGTAGACGTACAGTCCTCACAAGACCATTATTTTGCTCACCATTCCCTTTCCTGGATGCCTCCCTAGACTAAATAAGCTTGCCATCATCTTCTCTAAATTCCTAAAGGATCAACAACATTCTCCTCTAAATTCCTAAAGGATCAACAACAATATTCTCTCATTTGATTATCCAGCATTGCTTTCCAGTTGTTTCACAAATGCTATAATTATGCTTAACAGATTATGACTTAAAAGTGGAATTAAAAAAAAAAAAGTGGAGTTCCTTTTCTTTCCCCACAGAATGAAAATAGGTAAAGATTGAAAAAGTTTCAATAAAAAACAATGGATACAATTTTTAAAATTTAATTTTTCCTTAAAAATTCCAATGTCAGGTTTATATCGCTTATAAAAATTTGCCATAAGTATAGGATTTTAATTTACTTGCTGTAAAATTTACCAAACAATAACCCGAGCAGCAGTCAAATAAACTTATTTTTCTAATTTAAATTATCAAAGATTTATAAGGTTATTTCCAATGGGAATTTAGGAATAATATGTCCTTCAGACATTTTACAGTTAAGTACTAATTTATTTGTTATTAACAGAAGAGGGAGGGCACTGTTAGCATTAAATACCTAAAGCAAGCCTTACTATCTTTGGTACAATCCACCTCACCCACGTGTGAGGAATACAGGCCCACAAGGGTGAGAACTTGGTACTGTGTCTTTGTACCCCAGAGCTGTGGGACCCGAACGATGGCTGCTACTGCCAAGGGCCAAGTCCTTCTTTGTCCTAGAACTCTCTCCACCCGATCTTCCTGAGACCAGCTGATCACTTCCCTCTGAACATCTGCAAAAACTCGCTTCCTCTTCAAGTTATGTGCTTCTTTGGAACTTTTTCAGGCCAGCCACAGCCATTTTCCTAAGACTTTTTCTTTTTGTTACCAGGGATTAAGACTTTTTATTAATGATTAAATTCCCTCTGTGTGACACATACAGGAAACGGAGAATTAAATTCAGAGGTGAAAGGTACAATTTGCTGTTGAGGATTATAGAAAAGTTTTATGGTCTTATGAGAAAGTTTAACATGCATAATTTAAATTGTGCTCATCATAATGTATTTCTAGAAAAACTGAAAAGTAAACTGATGTAGTATTTACAAGAATTTTAAAAAATTGAAACAAAATATTCTCTTACTTAAGATTTTAATTAACAAAACATAATTTCCCAGACAATAAACTGATTTCTTTGGGGGGGGGTACTGGGGATAGAACTCAAGACCTTGCACTTTCGAGGCACCACTGAGTTAAATCCCCAGCCCAGTAAACTGATTTTTAATTGTGACAATGGTGGGAAAGCAGTGGAAACTGCTCTATTAATTATATCCTTTTGTTGTTATTGCAGAGTTATAAAATATGAGAGAAAACAAAACTCGCATTTATTGTATTGAAGACTTTTTGGAAACTGATGGGCAATTCAGACAGTCTAGTCAACATCCCATTGGTTTAATCTTAACGGATTTTGCCAGTGACCTGACAGGTTGTTCAAAGTGAGAAATCCAGGGAGACTCCGAGCTTGGTTCTCATCTAGGACAATGGGACAAGCCTGTGTCCAGGGCTTCTTGCCTGGTGTGCTCCTGGAGACTGAACCTGAATTCCAATGCAAGGCCGATTCTCTTGCAAAAGGGAAGAGAGTAAAATCAGATCACTGGTGTGGAAATCCCACAGAAGTTGTGGTCAAATGAAGCAATCACAGTTTATGCAGGAGGAAGGTGCCTGAATGAAGGGCAGGTACTTTAATGGTCAAAGTTTGGAAAAGTTAATGGGCTGGGATTTAGCTCAGTGGCACTGTGCCTTCCTTCTGAGTTCGATCCCCAGTACCAAAAAAAAAAAAAAAAAAAATTGAAAAGTTAAAAAAAACTTGTAAATTTTTTTTTTTTGGTACTGGGGATCAAACTCAGCACCTTGCACTTTCAAGGCAGGTGGCAGAACCACTGAGCTAAATCACAGGCTAAACCTTGTAATCTTACTGGTGGCACTTACTTATAACATTTTCCCTTTATTGGAAACTGTTTGCAGTTATTACAGGGAATTCCAAGGTGTTTGTCCAGTTGTTCTTTCTCAGCGGTAGCCACAAGTTTCCTAGAGTTTTTGAATTCTTCCAAAATCACTTTCAGTGGTGCGAACTCTCTCCTGCACAGAGGACATTTCACCATGGAAGAGCTGGAGATCATGTTCTGATAGTTAGCCAAGATCTTCATGCATTTTATGTGAACATTATTGCCACAGCCAAATCTATCAGGAATAAAGTTCAAGATTACCATTCCTGTACAGAAGTTTTACATACACCTTGTAACTGTTTATATATCATGAACACCTTTACAAATAAGAATTTCTGTTCTAACACCTTTATTTCCCATAAAAAAACTTAGAACTGATTTTCTGGATATGGTTTGATTACACACACACACACACACAAATCTAATTTACCATATTTAATTTGGCATCTCAGAATCAACACATAAATTTTTTCCTATTCCAATGAAATGATGAAAGATTTTGGACCATAAAATATTTTTATTTGTAAAATGATAGTGAATATAGTCTCAACACAAAGAAAAATTATTACGATGCCACTGAATTTTCTCAGAAATCACACTCTGCTAAAATAAATACCTAAGAAATATTTGCTGGGAGAAAGAATATTTCAGGAAGTCGTTAATAATCTTACAGTGTGCAGTAGAAGCAGCCATATGAAAAAGTACAAAACTGTGGCAAATAATCAGGAGGAAAAAATAACAATGAAAATGTAGCAAGTTGCCGCTGAAGTTTTCTGAAGTCCAATTTTATTTTATTTTATTTTTTTTTGTATTAAATTCTTTTATTGCTACATTGTAGGTATACAACACAATTACATTTCTCATTGGGAATTGTACTTTTATATAATGCATCCTGGTTCTTATTTTTTCCCCATTCCTAGCCCTCCATTCACGCCCTCCACCCTTCCCTATTTACAAAGACTTTATTTCCATTTTTTCCATTTCTCAGCATTTTT